TCGTATGATAATTAGTTTATTAATTTATTACTACTTTATTTACAAAATGTACATAAAATCAATTATGATATTAAATAAATATTCTTAATACATACATATATTTCTCTATTTTTAAATAACATATTAAGCCATCTTTTTCATGTTTTTGATTTTTTCTTTTGATTTAGTTTTGAAGTCAATATAATATAAATTGCACTGGAAATCGATAATTTATCTTCATTTTTTCTATCCATTTTTGTTTTAAAAATAAGAAGATACGAACTGCTTTTTGTTCAAAATTATTATATACATATATATAAGTTAAATTTAATAAAATAGTAATAAAATACTTTGAAATACTATAAAATAAAAAATGTAAAACACGTGAAACGTGAAAAACGTAAAAAACGTGAAAGAAACTTCAAATGATTCCATAATAATTATAGAGACTATATCTGTATATCCACTATAGCAGGGGTGGACAACTGGAGGCCTGCGGGCCGCATTCGGCCCTCAAGTCTTTTTTATCTGGCCCGTTCTATATTTTCAAATTACATCATACATTTTTAAAGTGTATCGTCTATACTTTATCTTATCGATATAATAATTGTTATCTGGTATTAAACATTGTTAAATGTTTAAATGTCATAAATATGTATACGTAGAGATGTTAAAATACGGTATTTTATTTATTTTTTGTATGATACCGTATTATACCATATAGAACCTTGCATTATCTTAAATTATAAGGAATTTAACAAAGGTCATCACCCCATTGTTAATTATGAAATATAAATTATTTTAAAATGGACTAATTGAAGAAAATGGCTAAAAAGTTAGAAAAAATTAAAAAAACACATAATGATAATAAGAAGAAGAATTATTCACCACATTCACCAAATTAATATTTAGTTATGCTACCGATTTGTAATTATGATATAGGTAACATACGTATGTATGTTATACATAGAAATGCACATTTTTTAAATAGAAATAAAGAGAAAACTATAGTTAATACTTTTATAGTTATATAATATCTCATTGTACCTATATATTTACAATATTTGAATATTATAACAGTACAATAAATTGATTTTAGTCATTTTTAACACTTGAATTCTAAATTAACACTATTACAATAATATTGTATATTTTTAATTTTTATAATAATACTGTAATTTTGGAGATCCATTCTATAAGTACAACTAAAAAATTAATAATTGAGTTACTAAACGTAACCAAAAATAAAGCTTTCATTTGTTTTTATACTGTCTGTATAAAATAATTTTATACCATGTGTATAATACCTTGCATAATATAATTTTATACTATTGTATAGTACAAACTCGTATCACTATGTATACGTATAACTTTCAAACTAACCTAGCTTGAAAAAAATACCGATTGCGATACAGTTTCAATTGCAACTGTTGTTGACGTAGTCCTGTTTCTTGCTCTGCTTTCTCGTTTGCGTTGTGCTTCTTTTGCTAAAAATGCAGCTCTATTTGCTGGTTGCGATGTATATCTGCATTTATTTTCACCTTTTTTTTCGTGCTCTGCTTTTTCGTTTGCATTGAGATTCTTTTGCTAAGAATTCTGCTTTATCTTTTGATTGCAATGGTAGACTCTTATCAGTAGACTCGTCATTAACAACATGCACTTGCGATACAGTTTCAATTGCAACTGTTGTTGACGTAGTCCTTTTTCTTGCTCTGATTTCTCGTTTGCGTTGAGTTTCTTTTGCTAATAATTCTGCTTTATCTTTTGGTTGCAATGTAGCTAACTGTTGAGATTTGTATTCCCTTTTATATTCAGCTCCGTAATGTTTAGTATTTTGTTCCGATGGTTCTTCTTATCTCCTTTTGGAATGCATTTGTCTGTAATTAGTGTATTAAAATAAATTAATTGAAGTTTAGGTTAGATTAGGTTAGGTTAGATTAGGTTTTAGATATCTTTGTAATCTTATATTTAAGTTGTTTTTGCTCAAAATACATTTATTAAATGCTATTTTAGCGTAGCGATGACTGCCGTTAGCAAAGCATCACTGTACGATGTAAACGTTATTTCCTAAGTTAACCTAACTTTAGTTGTTTAAATCGTATTAGAAAAAATTTTGAAAAATTTTATATTACGATTGTAAAATCTTCGTTTTTTTTTTTTTAAAAAAAAAAAGTGCAAAAAATTTTGCGCATCCTAATGGAGTCGAATTCTGGGTACCGAATCAAAGAGAATGTGTTGTTACCATTGCGCCTTCGTTGTTCACCCCTGTAAAACAGCATTATAGGTATTTATGGGTTATCATATAATGTAGAGAGGTACTTGATACCGTCATGTCCATGTATTAATTTATTCATCCGCATTAAAATTATTCTATACTCATTCAAATTAACTAACCTTTGATCTTGTGCACTTGTTGATTGCGCATCAGATGTAGTAGCACATATTGGCGGCATTTTGCTTGAACCTTGCAGTGGCGAAGCTGTTCTTCGCTGTTCACACTCTCTATCAGTATCACTATTACTCATTTTGCCGCGATACAAACTTCAGAAGGAGCATGCAATCACGTATAAATAAAGTTCTCACTTTAAAAGTTTCTTACATAAAATACAATTTAAAGCGGTGTCCAGCGATACGTAATTATCCACGTCGTATATTTTATATTATATTATATGCGATATTATGCGCCGGCTGCCTGCGTGCGCACAGATGCTGAAGAGAGGAGAGTCGTAGCTGTTATGCGCGTGCCCCGCACCATGCCCCGTCTTCGGACGGACGTGGACGTTCAACGAAATAGGTCCCCAACTAAACGCGCAATAAAGTTCTCACTTTAAAAATTGGCCCTCTCGTAACTTTCAATTGCCCATCCCTGCACTATAGTATCATTGACAACAATTTAATTGTAAGTTTAAAGTTAAAATAATATGTTTATAATTAATAAGTAATGCTATTCGTTTATTGTATAGATATTTGTAAGGATGTACAATTAGTGGAGGGTATGTACAGGGCCGGCTTTAGTTTTTTCAGCGCTCAGTGCAAGAATTATTTTGGCAATCGTTCATCTTATACGACTTAAACATATAACTTAAACAGGCAGAATTTTGGGAGCTGGAGGGGCCTCATTATACATATTATAACCTAAGCCTCATTCAGAATCAAAAATGCTCAAAATCATTTTTCAGTCGTGCATATTTGCCACATATTTGTAAATCATTCATAGAACAAACATAATAATACTTGTAATAATAAAATGATAGTTTATAAAACTGTAATTGTATCTACAAGCGCAGTCAATCCTTGTTGATAGAATAATATATTATTCTAATTTTAATAATTATCATTATTTATAAATAATGGTAATTATTATAATAATAAAATTTATATTGAATCACATTGTGAATTTTTTTTTTATCTATAGTAGATAATTTGTGTTTTAATTAATGATTGATTAAATTGTTCCAATTTTGACGCCTCTCACGCGCCCTTCTGATTTTGGCGACCTGTACTGTCGCACGCGTTGGTCGTATATAAAGCTGGCCATCGGTAGATACCCCCAAAAACTATAAAAAAAAATCCACTTTTGAAATGGTTAGTACGAATAATATGCACATCATGAACATGTTAAAGTGTGTATAAAATGTAGTATTTGTCAATTATTATAGAATCATAGAAATATTAATTTTTCTTAGAAGGAGGTATATAAACAGACGTTTGAAATTGACCTAAAAACTTTGTTTAAAATGTAATCCTCTACCCCCATAAGAAAATGTTAATGTAGAAAATGTACGCCACTAGTTAATTGGTTAGTCGATTAATGAAAAAATTAACAATTTTTGCCCGACTGATATGAATTAAATTAAATTACTCACATCATATAATACTTACTCTATTTAATTTATTTTTATTGAAATCCATACAGTATATACATATTTGATGTGAAAATTATAAATAACATAAATTAAATATACAATTGAAAAATTTGAAAAAAAAAAGTAGAAACACAATAATAATAAGATAGTAATAAACGTTATGTGCAATGTTTGTTTTCAAATTCTGCAATTCAATTATTTAGAAATCGTTCAAAGAAACAATCTCATGTAAGAAATTTATCTCAGTTGTTTTGATCAATTAAGTATTTGTATTCAGTGTTCTGTATAGTTGTAAAGTGCTCACGTATGTCAACAAATGTTCCGTTATCTGTTAAAGTTTCGAAGTACAGATACTATTACAAGCACGATGATCCAAGGTTCCACAATATTTTAACATACTTTTTATACTTATACCATCAAATATTACCTAGAAACGCTTCACACTGTAGAATTTCAATAAAAATGAAATTTCAGTATCTCTACTTAACGAAATGGCGATCACATTACTTGCAAATAAATCAAAGGTAGAAGCAATATCGTTAAATGTCCTTTGTATGGAGGCAAACATAGCTAACTTTAAAGGATGTCCATCATTTAAAACTCTCAGTAAATATAAATCCGGTATTCATCGCATTCAGCGGAATCAAAAACTTTATATCCTTTAAATATAAACTTGAATCTTAAGTCCAATATCTGAAAACAACAACAATAATATTTTCGCAATTGAAACATTGTTATGATAACAGATTTCACATAAATCATTGATCTACTTATAACTTCACTTACTATCGTTATAAATAAAATTAACTTTCTATAAACACACCGGTGATATTTCCGTATGATAAAACATCCCACGTCACTAAATGATTGTATAATTTTTACTATATGCAGTATCGTCACTTTTTTTTAAAACATGAAAGGTTATTATATATTACTAATGTATCTATATTTATATTCTATAAATACATTTATATAGTACTGTATTATAGACTTATCAATTTAAATTCATACTATTTTAACCATAGAATAATATGAAAGAACATTATTATTATTATTTACTGAAAAATTACTCTTTCAACAAAAGGTGACGCATTTTAACAGTTATTGATATTAGGTTCTAAAATAACCTTATCGATTTCCATTTGGAAAATAGCAACGATGCATAACGAATTATGATAACATTTTTTCTCTCTCAACATTTTGTGGTTACAACCTATATTGATGCAGAATATATTAATGTATATTAGATGTTTAGATAAGTATTTACGGGGCCGACCAGTAAGGGGGTGTTTACCCCCTCCTCCCCGTAAACACGCTACTGATGATCGCCGTTTTCCGTTCCAAACGTATCGTTTCAAAATGTTGATTTTACCTGTATGCTCACGTTCGGTTCGCCGGCGTGATGGGACAGTTCAGACATCGGATCGTACATCAAATTATCACGGGAATACCGTTTCTCGCACCTTACGCTTTACGACTCGGATGCAGTCTTCTACGATCCGTGACTAAAATAAAAAAACATTCGCAATAATCGACTTGCCGTGTGCATCGGATCGAAATTCGCCGCGGACCAACATGGCAGTGAACGGGCCCGAGAGGTTTCGCCCCGGATTTTTTGTTTTTCTCGCTTGGAACGTGCTCGGTAACCGCGTGCGGGCAGAAGTCGGTGACGGACGATAACGGCACTGCTTGCGACGGCGGTACCGCGAAGGGTGACGAAAATCACCCGTCTCGTCCGCACCCCGACCGCGTCGAAGAGGGTGCACCGCTGCGGCGAGAGTTCGCACACGGACGCCCCGAGCCGCCGTCGAGACCGCCGAGTGGCGTTATCGCGCGAACGGCCGCTGTGTGGCGCGTCCGCCGGCCGCGCAGTTCGGTCGCACACCGCCCGGCAGTCACTCGCGTGGCCTCGCATCCCCCGTGACGACGACCGCCGTCCGCCCCGGCACGGGCACGTCGCCTCGCGAAACGTGAAATATTCCAAATCATCGTTTCAATTTTTTTCGGCCACCGACAACGTTTTTTCGTTCGTCGGTCATCGGTGACTGGTAACTTCGGGCCCGAACCCGTCGTCCCGCGAACACAAGTGTCCACACATATCGTTCCGATTTTTCCACCGGATCCGTGTTGAACGCGCACGATAATCGCCACGTCCACGGATCGCACGTGTGTCGAAAACACCCAACATTTGGTAAATCGACGTTTTTTTCCTTTTATTTTAGACTACGTTTCGGATCGATGTCGTGTAGATCGTTCGAAACGTTTGCGTACACTTGATTACGTCCCTGATTTGTTACCAGAAACTTATCGAAACGTTTCGTATTGTATTACGCGAAATAGAAATATTCATTGTTGAACGCAGCATCTGAAAATATTTCCTAGGGATTTATATGCTCCAACAGTTTTTCAGTTGTTCCGTTATTACACTACAGTTAAAGAAATAACCTATGTTTTATAAAAATGTTATAGTTAAAAATACAGTAGATATTTTTAGTAATTAAAGCGACAAACGAAAATTACTTTTTAATCCAAAATATTAGGTATACGTCTTGTTGAACATTTACACGTTATTGTGATGTACACATATTATTAAATTTAATAAATCCGAATTTTTATTAATTATTTTGCATTGGAGTCCGATTCGTAAACTCAACAATCAGCGGAAATGAATGAAAACATTTTAATGATATCAATTATAAACTGTGATATTTATTTCAGTTTTATTTTTTTTGCAAATGTTTGAAGTTTAGGTTTACATATTATATTTTATGTATGATTTCAAGAGTAGATTTAACAATTCATCGTCTCTATGCCTAATAAAAAATTGTCACCATTGTCCTAAATAAATCACTTCTGTACATCAACATTTCTTTACATAATAATATTTTCTCAATATTATGTTATTATTTATTTAGGTAATGTTGTGTGCAAATTTTTTGATTCAAATGTAATATTTTTTCTTTAATATTATTAACTCAAAATAAATACAAGAAAAAAAAAATATTATAATATTAATCAAACGTATATATAATTTTAATCTTAATTATTCATCGTTAAAAATGTGATCTTGTAATAGCTCATTTAATTTTTTTTCTTTTCTGAGAACCACTAAACTTTTTAAATGTATAATAAAATAGTGTAAAATAAAAATAAATATATATATATATATATGCTATATAATATAATATATAATATAATATATAATATAATATATTATAATATAATATATAATATAATATAATATATAATATAATATAATATAATATAATATAATATAATATAATATATATAATATATGCTCACCAAAAACTAGTAATAACTATCAACACTCTAAATAGTTGGAAACGATAGCGAACGGACAAATAACAACTATCGACTAATTCAGTTTAACATATCAATCCAATTAAACGGATAATGTTGTCATAATGTTATAATAATTATAATAATAATGATAATAACAATAATACGGGATTTCATCACTTTTCATTCTCGTAATTAGTATTTTATTTTTCAGATTTCAAAGACATAAATACGCGGTAAACTTGTATTTATAAACAATGAGATAAGCCATAATAAACCATAAACGTGATCGTTATTGACGATTTCCTGATAAAAAATTAATATAACTTAGCTATAAAAAATCAGAATAACAAAAATAATATCCATATATACCTTTCATAATTTTGAAATTGTAAAATTATTAATAAAAGAAAAAATATAATTTTTTTCCATGTATAGGTAAGAACAAAATAAATATTAAATAAAATTTTTCAACGTACCCAAAATTGTCCGCCCCTTTAAAACGGTTCGCGGTGAATTGTAAATTCTAACGTACCGCCCTATACGGCCGTATAAGTTACAGTGCCTTAAATCCACCCCTGAATATTTTACATATTATTAAATTTATTTAACAGTTATGTAGCCAAAACACTTATTGGATGAAAAGAATTTTTACGATTTCGTGATACCACGAATCAAAAATAAAAAAGTATATGATTAGCCATTGCTAAAAATTGGAATATTATTTTATTAGAATGTTTATGACATTTATCTATTGGTTTTAGAACACTTCAATTTGAATGCTATTGCTGAAAATTATTGAAATTGAAAAATGGTTCCAAGTAGAATTCGTATTATCAAAATAATCAATAATTGTTTTATAAAGCTTAATCTATGTTCAGCTAATAATTCTTATAACTGCTGATTACAGCTGTTAAGTTTTTTCACTATTTAAAATGTTAAATATTAAAAAATATAACATGTTCCAAAAGTTAATTTTTTTGATAGTTAGATAAAAAATAATATTAAAGACAAAATAAAAACCTTATGATTAGATTTACTGGTTTAATAAAATTGAAATAAATTTATGGTTTTATTTACTATCAAATGTTTTAATTAGATAATATTATAAAAATATGATTCAACAGGTGGTAATATTTAAGATATTATAATAAGGTTTATAAAAAATATTAACTATGTTAAAAAAATGATATAAGGGTTTTGTAGATTTGAATAGCAAGTATTTGTAAAGGTTTAATGAAAAAGTTTGTTTCATTTTGATATTTATTCTCTTTTTTTATTTTTATTTGTTTGCTATTAAACTTCCTTTTCTTTTGCCATTGAAACCGTTGAACTGTGTATGTAGGGGTCAATAAAAGTGACCGGCCCATGTAGCTAAGACATTTATTGTAAAACCCAATGACTTTACGGCTTTTCGAATGTTCTTCTCCATTATTGCGTTGAAATAAGAATGGACCATATACCAACAATTCAAGTGTGAACTATTCTTTTAGTTTTCATTTAAAAATGGTATTAGATTTTAAATAGGTATCGCACAGAAATAAATTAAATATAGGTAACATAAAAATCAATTTATTAAGTTCAGAAATATTTAGAGGGTTTTTAACAGTGTAAAAATAAATGATAAGAAATGACAGTGATAAAATTTAACATATAATTATAGTGCAATTTTACAATATATGTGTAGATAGTATCTATATTATAGTAAAAACGTGTTAAATTGATGTACAAGCAAACTGGTGTTAAAATGTAACATTTACCTATCACATAAATATATTATATTGTTCTTATTTTAACAGGAGGTATACATTTATTGTAATATAAGTTAATGAATTACCCAGTTTATTTTATATGGTAATAGTTTAATTTATTTATTTACCATTTAATTAGTTGGTTATAATTTTTTTCATTTTATTTGTAAAAAACAACAATAGGAAGTTGGCTTAGTACATAAATTGCGTTCATGAATTGCTTAACGAAAAATTATAGTTGTAATAAAAATATACACATTTTACATTTGATCAAAAAATGATCGGTTTTTTGAAAATGCCAAGGTTCATAATTTTTGAAAAAAAAAAAACGATAATTTTAATTTCTTATTCTTAATTAAGTTCTCATAATAAATTTGGAAACATAGTTGATTTGATTTAAAAGACAAATTGGTGATCAATGAGAATGACATTTCTTTAATTATATCATTGGTTTATAAGAACATTTTTGATCTTTTGTGAAATTCGAAATCTTATTTAAAAATATTATACATAAAGATTTTATTAAATAAGTAAACCTGGTGAGGTAGGGTATTGAATTCTACTTATTCTATGTATATGCTATTGAAGATTCTAAATTAAAAATGTAATTTTTTTTTTTTTTTTTTTGATAATATGGTGATGATTACTTATTTTTATTGATAAAATGTTTAACTATTAAAAGTTGTACTTGTGATTTAAAGTTCAATAATTATTACAACTTTTCAATTGTATAAATTTAAACAGTTAAACATAAATCATTAAAATCAATGTATTTCTATTTAATTTATAATGAAGTTTCATATTTTAATAAATTAAAATTAAATATGTATTAACATTTTTTCAGGTTCCAACAAAGTTAGCGTATCATCATACAGTACAATAGAAATGTGAAATGTCTACATCATAAACAATCCACAAGTAAAAATTTTATTTTAATCTATCATAATATTATTTAATGTTTTGAAATTATATATTACAAGTAGTTTTAAGTAGTTGTAATTTTAATAATTCGTATTTGTTCCCCCCTCCAACAAAGATAATAGTAAAAATATTGCTCATTTTTATAACTGACAAATATATCGTATTAAACTTGATGCATGCATATTTAAAATGAGATTATATTATTATTTTAAAATAAATTTTATTAGATAAAAATATAAATTAAGGTTTCAATTGATATTATCGTAAATTGTATTAATGATAAATGTATCATTATTTTTATATACACTTTTTTCTATTTAAATTTAATTTATTAATTTAATTCATTTTAAAAAGAACAAAATATTTTTTCCTTCTTTTAATGCTCTTTTTTTAAACTGTAGTATTATTTTTACTATTTGAAAATGTATTTTTGGTTGCAAAATTATGTATTTAAAATACTTTACTAAGTACCAGGATCTGTGTAATAAGATTTATTGGTATAATTTTTTTTTTTTAATAATCCATTGATATATTGTTATTGATGTAAGTTTTGGATATTAGTTTTGGATATGTACGAAGAAAAGTATCACTTATAATGTTTATTTACTCTTGTTATTCTTGTATATTAAATTTATCGAATAATTAAAAACCATTCAGTTATTAATTTATTGAAGGCCAATTAACAATATAACACAAGATGTAAGTAAGTAGGTACAATATTAGGATTATAAAAAAATAAATATAAAATATATAATATTTGACAGCTGAGAAGTCAAAGAAAAAAATTCCAATTGAAACAAACCACTATGATTAAAACAATAAATTGTTTATATTTTAAATCAGCTTTCTAAGAATCGTAGAGTTTAGAAGATGAATTTTTTTTAAACTTTGACGTTGAAAAATTCAACGTCAAAAACATAATAAATTTAAATTTAATTAATGTATTTACGAGTATAATGAATTTACAGCATTTCAATTAATTAAATGTAATAAATGTTCTTTTCAGAAAATATTTTTAGTTTACATTTGGATTACTACAAAATCTCTTGGCACTATGTATACTTTTCTCAACTTTTACAATTCGTTTAATATAATATCTTGAATTTGTATTGAACCTTGAATTTCAGACCACGTCGATAACATAAAAATATTAATATTTTTCTGAAAAATATAACTAGTTTTTAATAATTCAAGTTTTCTCTACTATGAAACCACTTAATATAATATTACACTGATGCATTCTATATAGTAAACATTATTTTTGTATTCTAAGATACCGAATGAATATTATAATGTTTTCATTACTTCGAGATTTATGTACCTATGTTTTATAAAGTATTATTTGTACTGAAATGTTCACTTGAACTTAATACATTAATTATTTAACAGAATTTATCACTTCCGAAAATACGATTTTAAAAACATGAGCTCATTTATCATAATATATCAGAGGAATTATAAATTTATTTAATCATATGGATTTAAGTGTGGGTATTTATTTTTTCCATTAATGAAGTGTCATTTGTTCAGTTGTATTAAAATGTTATGTTATTTGAGTAAATTATATATTATGAATCTAAGAATTTAATATTGACATGAATATAACCTAAAATTACTTATTAGTTATTAAATATTATTAAAATAAAATTATTTTCGGTTATTTTTATTCTATATATTTTGAAGTTACAAACGTAGAAAAACTCTATATATCCCACGAAAAAGATTGTTTAGCTTAGGCAATTAATAGTATTTATTTAAAAAGTTTGAGCTTTAACACGAAGTCATGTTTAAACTCTTTAATTAATAAATATCATTAACATGTTAGAATAATACCAAGATCTTGTATTGATCGTGCTATTTTTAGCGATGGTTATTGCATTATTAATACAAATATATATATATATTTAATTTTTTTTTATAAATTAGCTAGTCGTGTTTAAATATATTTTAATTTTGAAATGATCATTTATGAAAAATATGATGATTTTTTTTTTATGAAATTACTTAAAAATACTTAAAGATTTAAGGTTTATTCAATGATCAGGTCATATAAATTAAAATACTTCGACATTACAATATTAAAATAAATCATCGTAATTTATCAAAATAATAAGTGATATCACTCTTTAAATGTTGTACTTTTATAAGACTAAAAAAATAATGGACTTAGTATTTTAAGTAATATTTAAAACGACTTGTGGGGTTGTCTTTGTTGTAATTTTTAATTTTTTATACAATGACACAAAAATTGATGAAATTGTTTAACAAAAAATTAATAAAAATTAAATCAGTTGAATAAATCTTACGCTGTTCGAAGTAATTCAACTTGAGGAAATGTAAAAAATATTATCCTTAAAAGTGCCATGCCCATTTTATGGTTTCATATGACATATTATTAACAAATATTTGAATAAAGTTATATTAACCAAAATTATGTCTATATCATGATACAAAAGAAAATATTTCTGCAACATCTTTATATTTTATTTTTGTTTCTTTTGGATAAAAAAAAATAAAAAAAAAAAGTAAAACTGTTTTATAAAATATTTTAAAAGTTTTCTTAGTCCACCTTATAAGAAACGGACGTAGTATAATATTTTTAAGACCAAGTATCAACACTCCATTTATTTCTGAAACAGAAACTGCAGGAATGATTTATATAATATTTTATCAAAATGTGCCTACATAGTCGTGGACTTGATGTTAAATATTTTTAGTTGTATGATTGTAAGTTTAACAATTTTTTTATTTCTTTTTTAATTAGTTGGGTTTGTTAGAAAGTAATTTTCAGCGTTCTTCGAAATGTTTCATTGTATCTAACCGAAAGAAAATTATTTTTAATTTTTCTATAATTAAAAATAAATCAGAATATTAACTCTGTTAAATAAATTTAAGTATATGAAACGATTTATAGTTGTTATCATAAGACTATTAATGATTACCGCAATATTCTTATTCAAATGTATTTATAGTTAAATGCTAGTTCCATAATACGTACAGTCGTTCTCGTTATTCTTTACACGTTTTCTTTAGTTTATTTCATACATAATAACACGAAATAAAAAATATAAGATAATGAATTCAAGCATTTTAAGAATTATTTAATTTAAGTATTGAAAAAATAATTTTAATATTAGTGTACTTATCAAAACAATTTTAAATACTTGCTCAAATATGTATATATATATATATATATACGTATTTATATTTTATTAGGGTATTTGATGAAAAAAATATAATTAATATACTTTTCTGATAAGTGATACTGAAAAGTAATACAATATTTAAATGGGTTATTTATTAATAAATAAAATTAACCTGGAAACTTGAGAAGAAAGAATTTGATACACCGAAAATATTAATAACACGATAAAATTAATAGCGACATTTTACGGTTCTGCAAACAAATAAAATACATTTTTAGTTGTTAAAAGAAAGAAAAAAATCATTAATAGTACGCATTTTAAGATATGAAATAAGTAACAATATCTAATGTAGATCGAAGTCAAGGGACTTTAAAATTGTGTACAATCGTTGCGTTGTAATAACGTCAATACTACTTGTTTACTATATGACAATCTTGTTGTTTACCAACAGACAAAAAATATGTCTACTGGGATGACAATGGTAGTTTTTAGAAAACTGTCCATTACCTTTGTAAGTCCGAACTTTATTAAAAAAATATAATAATACCAAGTATATACTCGTACTATCTTTAATTGAGGCTCGACTATTTTATTTATTTTTTATAAAGACGGGTTTGAAGTAAACTGTTTGTTTTTCCCTAGAATAGTTCTTAAAAATATAACGTAAAATTCGTATCTGTAGGTATAGAACTTTACTTTAAAAAAGTATTTTGGAACACAGTTTTTTATATTATTTTGGGCAAAAAAACGTAAAGAATGAATAACGTAACATTGTTCGGGTTCATATCTACAGAAAATATTTATAAAACATTTAAACAAAAATAAAATGATCTTTCAGTGCCTACAGAAATATACAAGTCTTCATGAAAAGTAAGTGACCTTCTGATCCTTATGTAATCACGAAATGTTTAAAAAAAAAAAACCATTCAATCATTGAATACATGAAATGGAAAGCTATCACAGAAATATTAGGAGGTTTTGTAAATTTTAAATTTCATACTCAATGAATAAAAATATTATTTTGAAATAACAAACTTTTATTAAATTAAATTATAAATTTAGAAATTTAGAAATATAACAAAAAATAATGTTTATTCAAAATAAAGTCTCGAATGTTTATTTCCCTAAATAAATTAAGAAATTACCTACATACTATATTAATTTAATATTTTTGTACCCTGTAATATGTGTACATTATTTATGGTGTATATCCGGGTAGAAGTAATGTTAAAGCAATATCCACTAGGTTCCAATTTAAACCTGGAAATAAATAAAGTATCTATATATATAAATTTGTGTAACCCCCACAAAAAAAAAATCCTGGGTACGCCACTGATAACAGCGTTATGATTTTAATTTCATTTTACTGTTTTTTATAAAGCAAGTTGTATTATATGTGCAGTAAATTATTTTTATTTGGTTATTTATTCACATTTGTTTACAATAATAAAAAAAAAAAAAATTCCCTTAGTAAAAATTTTTATGTACCTTTCCACTCACAAACTTATAGTTTTAATGATTCTTTAGTCATATGATAAGAGAGAATGCAACAGTGTTGCTTTTGATTTTAATTTTGATTAAGAATTTAAACTTCGTTTTTTATATCTTGATTTTTGATAAATAACTGACATGTACTATTTAATATTTAATTTTAATATTTAAAAATTACTGTTCTAAATAGTCCATAATTAATATTCTTGATATTCTATATTTATTGTTAATATTTGTCTTGTGTTTTATAACATTATATACACTTTTTGTCCTAATAGATGTTAGTTAATAAATAAAAAAAAATTGTGTTTAACCACAAATATTAGAACTAACGACTTTTAACTATATTTGTACGTATTT